ATGCACGAGGCTGCATTCGCGGTAAATATCGCCGCGTTTAGTTTAAAAATTACTACGTTCGCGGTAAGTATCGCAGTACATCTATATTATATTTCGTCGGCGATAAATACTGATGGTTAAATGATAAACAATTACTAGGTACGCGGTAGATTTATTAATATTATATATATTAATTTTTTGCTTGGTCGGCTGTAATTGCCGCTGCGTACAAAATAAATTATTAAGTCAACTGTAAACAACGTGTTTTCGCTAGTAATACTATACTCAAATGCAAATCTTTAACAGAATTTCGTTTGACAGCGTTTACTGCTTTGAAAATATACATTGTTTCATAAATTTAAAGTTATATTTATTTTTATTATTTAAACTATAAAGAAAGTTATATTCAAAAATTTGACAGTTTTTAGGTATTGGATGTTCATGATGATTCGCCTCTGGAGGTTTATGGTGATGCTTTGGAGCCTGGAAATATGGTGAGGAATCTGGGGGTTTGTGTTTGATAATTTCCTCATATTAAAACACCACGCCATTCATCTCTACAAGTCTTGTTTCATTCACATCAGAAGATTGCGCATGGTCCAAAGGTTTCTACCCCATAATGTTTTTCGTTCTCTGGTGGTATGCTTTATTTTGTCTCACTTCGACTATGGTAATGGTTTGTTATATGGGGCACATGGGATTGTGTTAGATGTATTGCACCGGTTGTGGAATTTGGCTGTCCGATTGGTATACGGCTTGCAAAAGCGGGATCATGTCTCGAATGAAAAGATGAATCTACGTTAGTTGAATGTCCGACAGCGAATTATCTTCAAAATCACTGTTCTGGCTTTCAACTGTATCAGTGGTAGATGTCCGAATTACCTCAGTAAAGCGTGCGTTCTTGTCAGTTCTGTTGCACGTGGATGTCAGTTGCGGTCGGTGGTAGATGGTAAACTATTGGTCCTCAGGACGAGAACAACATATGACCACCGTCGTTTTTTCATCGCTGCTGCTACGGTTTGGAACTCACTGCCTCTGAATGTCCGTCGGACTGGCTCCATTGCGTTGTTCGGAAAACGTCGGAAGTGCCATCTGTTCTGTTCACTGACATTTGTTTAATAATAATTGCTACTTCATGTGTCTATGCGTGTATTTGTGTTTTTTGTCGGTTCTCTTATCTTTTTTATTTTATATTTTACTACTTTGTTATTTATTTTATATATTTTGGTACTTTTATCATTTTTATTTCATTTTTATTACTTTACTATTTATCTTACATAGTTTGGTATTTGGTAATATGTTTGGGTATAGTGTTGTCAATTTAGACTTTATTTTTCATTGTTTACATAATTTGGAATTTATGTCATATTTACTTTGGGTATTCTTTCTTTTATTATTTCTTGTGCCTTATCCTTTCAGGACTTTGGCAACCTGAAGAAGTGCATAAAGTCCGATGGATGTCCAAAATTCTGTACTCCATCAAAATGGTCCTCCTTGAAAAGCTGATCCATTTGATGCATCCAGGACCAATCATTATTGTTTTTCTGCAGTTAAAATTGCGCAGTTTCACTGATTTTGTGTGCTTAATATATAGTAACTGGTGGATGACTTGTGGATCTGCTGTAGATGCCGCATACAATTATTTGACTTTATATGATGATGTTGTTAATTGCAGTGATTTGAATGAATTTAAAAAAAAGTTGCATGATTTTCTTATGAATGCTAAATTAAAATACAATTGGAGAGCGGAGTTGAAGTATGACTACTCGTGAATGCTGTTTATAGATTTTGGATGATGGTATAAATGTTTGTTTTGACATGATTGTCTTTAAGAGAGGACGATATATATGAATGGTTGAAATTGGAATTTTTATGAAGAAATGTTTGCGTATATATATATAAAGTTGAATTAATAATCGAAGTTATTTTTTTATATTTTTGTTTATTTATTTATTTTTTTTGTTTGATCTTTATGTATGAACAGAACATATTAACATATATTTATGTACATTATTGTTTATGTGTTAAAATTTTATAGTTAATTTTGTGTCGCGGGCATAGGGACATTTTGTCTTCGCCCATGTTTTTTCTCATAATAATAATAATTTCAAAATCTTCTCAAGTACACAGCTATCATTTCTGATATAGCTGGCAGTGCTGTAAAAGCTCTGAAACGTCATTTGTGTCCAGAAATGATTATACTGGTTATTTTCGGTGATGGTATTCCTAAACCTGAAATGCAGTACTTAGTGAAGAAAGTGCTAGCAGTAAAACCACTTGATGATTTAAAGCTTCCCCAAGATCGTTACGGGGGCATTCTTAGGGATTTGGTAAACCAAAGTTTCCTGATGCTATAACTGAAAGAAAGAGACTTGGCGATTTGGTTACTGGTAATTCATGGTTTATTGTCCAACTTTTGGAAATGGACATAGATTTTCTAAACGATGACAGAAAATTGGCCAGGCCACCCAGCGTTCCTGATATCAAAGAAGATAACAACCTGTCTAAATGTTGTCAGTGACAGTGCTGAGCGCAGTGTAAAGTTAAGTGTTGATTTCATAAAAGCAGCCAAGCCAGAGGAGCATTACCAGAACATCCTCTAAGTTGTTGAGAGCCACAGGAAATAAACTCCTAATCCAAGAAAACGAAAGTCGATAATAACGATGATTAAAATGTGCGAGTATACTGTGAAACTGTCATGATGTTCTCAAACTATTTACATTTGTGTATTTTTTGCTAAAAATGACACTAACCTTCTTATGTGCTGTTTACTGTTTCACAATTGATGGACAATATAACTGGTAAATATTTACATTGAATTTGTTACAATACAAAATCTATAAATTTTCACGTTGAATGTGGACCCCTTAAGAAACAAAAATTCTAATTTTTTAGCCTAAGTCTTATTTCATTAAATGGAACATGAAAATTATATAGCTAAAAAATAAATAAAAAGTTAAAAATATTTAGGAGTGTTTAATGCACTCTAAAGGCATATGCTAAGTTACCAGCCGTGACAAATTTTTTCCATGAGGACGTTTGATGCACCCTAATATATATATATATTATTATTACGGAAATTTATATACAGCGCTTTTTTATTGTTGAATCTCAAAAGCGCTACTAAATCATAGACAAATAAGACGGACATTCATTGTGCAAATAAATAAGTTTTTAGTTGACTTCGAAATTGTAAATATGATAGGTTAGGGTCACGTAAGTATGGAGGTAAACCATTCCAAACAATCGGNCCAAGAACCGCAAAGTTNCGGGAACCCGTCACCAACTTTGTGNTCGGGATAAAAAATAAATTGCGCTCGGTTGATCGGAAGGAATATTTTGAAAAATGAGATTTGTATGATTCCAATCTATCGATGAGGTAGGGAGGTGCTGTATTATTGACACATTTAAACATCAAAACTGCCAACTTGAAGGAAACACGTTTTTCAACCCTCAACCAGTGCAACCTGTTCAAAATAGGCGTAACATGATCGAACCACGAACCACCCAAAACTAGCTTGGCCGCACGATTCTGTATTGACTGAAGCTTTGAAAAAGACCTTTTGGTGACACCATAAAAAAGGCCATTGCAGTAGTCTAGTCTGGAAAAGACGAAAGAGGAAACCAAGCTTTGAAGAACAGACGTGTTTAGTGATTTTTTGACATTGCGTAATAAACGGAGTTGGTTGGAGCAGACCCTCACTAAATTATTAATGTGTAAATCCATCTTTAAGTTTGAGTCAATAATAACTCCAAGACTACGGACAGATGTGGAAAATTCAATGATGTCATTGCCGACATTGATCGATGAAATGTTGACCTTCGACAGCTGCTGCCAAGAACCAACCGGTAATATTTGTGTTTTAGATTGATTTAACTTTAACTGATTCATACTCATCCAAGATCCAATTTCGATGAGACAGTCAGTCAGTTCATTCAGAGAAGCATCAATCGAATCAACAGGACAAGAAACCAATAACTGAATATCATCAGCAAAGGCGTGGGAGCTGAACTCATATTTTTGAATGATATCAAAAACATCAGCAGTGTACATAAGAAACAACAGAGGTCCCAACACAGATCCCTGGGGGGACACCAAACGATAGTTTGTTTATGTCAGAGAGGGTGTTGTTGTAAGAAACCTGCTGGGTGCGGCCTAAAAGATAGGAAGCGAACCACGATAAGACTGAATCAGAGAGAAAAAAATTTGTGGAGAGTTTATATATGAGACGAGTATGATCGACACAATCAAATGCAGCACTCATATCAAATAATGCTAAAAAAGAAACGCATTGACTGTCAACTGAAGAGAACAACTGGGAGAAAATATCAATGAGTGCAGTTTCTGTGAAAAAATATTGACGATAGCCGGATTGATTCTTTGGCAACAAATTGTTTTTGTTTAAATGCTGTAACAATTGTTTGATAACAACTCGTTCAATGACTTTAGAAATGAATGAAAGATTAGAGATAGGACGGTAATTTGATAAAACGTTGTCGTCCAAATTTGATTTTTTTAGAAGTGGGGTTACAATAGCATGTTTCAAAGGGTTGGGAAAACTGCTAGTTGATAAACATTGGTTGACAAAAAATGTCAAAAATGGCAAAAAAAGATCTATAAATTTTTTAAATATGTATGTTGGAATCAGATCAAGAGAACAAGAACTGCCAGGGGAGTCACAAACTATTTTACGCAATTCATCTGGCCTGCACATTTGAAAATCTGAAAAATTAACAATTGCTTCAGGAGAGACGACCCTAGAGACATACTCAAACTGGATTGGTTTGTTAGTATTTTTTATAGTCGTGCTACGAATATTATTGATTTTATTCACAAAAAATGTCATAAAATCATTGGGGGAGAAATCATTTGAATGGTTATTATTGTGATTTTTAGATAAAATTTTGTCGAGAATATTCCACAATTTTTTTGGTTGTTTTTTAAACGAATCAACTTGATTTGACCAAAATTTGTTTCTTTTTTGGGAAAATTGTTGTATTTTTTCTTTTAACGCCAAGCGTCATGCATTTCGATTAATATCATTTTTCATTTTCTTATACAATCGTTCCAGTTTTTGACAATTGCGTTTTAATGAACGACATTCAGAGTCAAACCAAGGGGCAGATAGTACATGAGTAGATTTGACATAACGACAAGGAGCAACCATATCCACAATTCTCACGATTTCAGAATTAAACAAATCCAACAGGGTATCAGCGGAAGATGAATTGAACGGCCCTGAAATAGGTGATTCGAGAACTAGTGAAGAAAATTGATTTTCGTCAATTTGATTCCATGAACGAGTAAGTTTCCATTTTTTCTGAGGTGTGGGAACAGAAATAGGGAAACAAATTTTAATTAAACTGTGGTCTGAATACACATTTGGTGGCTCAACGGAAAAAAATTGTGAGGGAAGGTCAGAACTAGAGGCAATTAAATCCAATGTTCCACCATGAACGTGGGTTGGTTCATTTATTCTATTTATCAATTGATATAAATCAAAAATTTCAAACAATTTCAATGCATTAGGGTCGTTCAAAAGTTCAACATGAATATTCACATCTCCAATAAAAATAACATAATTTGGTAAAAGCAATATTTGATCAAAAACAGATGATAACTCATCAAAAAACAATGGTGATGGAATAGAAGACCCAGGACGATAAATTGCAAAAACAACAATAGTTACTTTGTTGAAATAAAATTTCACAACTATAGCCTCAAACGTCTTAAATAAAGGCAGCGGAATTCTATAAAATTTTAAATAATTTTTAAAAAATACAATTATTCCACCATGGTTAGGGTCGGTCGGCCTCAGAAAATCTATGAACACAAAATCAGGTGGCAGAGTGAGTCTAAGTGATAAATTATCGGACGACCCATGCCAGGATTCCGTAACAACAAAAATATCAAAATTATTAGAAAATAAATCGCGAACAGTTTTGATCTTATTCATAATTGACCTAATGTTCAACAAACCTAATTGCAATTTTAGTTCTGAGTCTTTTTTGGTAACTTCACGATCATTACTACCACTTTTATCGTTACCATTACAACCATCATCACAATCGCAAATACCACCATCATTACCACTGCCGCTATCGTTACCTCCACAACCATCTCCGCCACCGCAAATACCACCATCATTACCACCACCGTTAACATTACCACCACAACCATCTCCACCACTGCAAATACCACAACCACAACTATCATAATCACCACAGCTGAACAAACTTCCACCACCAGCATCATCAGCAATACCTTCACCAGAAATCACTTCACCGGATGCTCTCTGGGTTTGACGATCCGCCACCTTCCCACCGTTCCCCTCACCTTGAATAAAAAACCCGAGCACGAGATTTTTCTTGATTTGGCTTCATCAATTAGTTTTTTTAACTTGGCACGCTGATCAACTGTTAAATCATGACTGATCCATACTTTATCAAGATCTTCATGCATAGTTTTTAATTTAAAGGAATTTTTTAAGACTAAATCTTTAATTGCACAACTCCTCATTTCAATCAGCACCGGTCTAATTTTAGTTTCAGCTTTTGGACCCAGTCTAACAATTCTTTTAATATCCTGATCCTTGACTTCACTGGATAACTTTTTAATAATTCCTTTGACTCTATCTTTATCATCATCAGTTTCTTGCAAATTGAACATCATTATGTTATTCTCTCTTTCTTTCATGTCATTTACATTGGTTAAAGTTTTTTGAACACTTTTTACCTCATCATTAACTAGTTCCATATTTTTCTTCACTTCGCATCGGACAGCATCAGCAAAACTCTTGTTCAAATCGTTTTTAAGGTTACACAGCTCAGTACTCAAAACTGTGCCATCGAATCTTTCCGCCCCATCAACATTTCTCTGAATTGAACTTTTGATAGCTTCAAGTTCGCTCCTCAACAAATTGTTCGATTCATCAATTTTGTCAATTCTAGTGTTGAGCGCATCATTGCTATCACGCACAGCTTTATTTAATGACTTTACATCAGGAAGTAGTTTCATGCATTCATCACAATACCACTTAATATTGGACACGGAACTGATAACCTTGAAAGCTGATTTACTTATTCCGACACAGTCTTGGTGAAAGGCAAGTTGACATTGAAAGCACTGAATTGTGTCTTTATCTTCCATATTTCTAGCACATTGACATCCTTTGATCGACATAATTGTTTCAAAAAGAATGTCTGCAAGTCAACTTATAAAATTATATTTCAAATGTCTTTAGAAAGTTAGCAGTCCGCAAGAATAAACACACAAGAAAAAAACAAAAAATAAAAAACAGCAAAACACTTCAACTTTCAAAACAGTGCAACTTCTATAAAATATCCTTTATTGTTTACAACTTTAACTTTATTACCGGGAATTCAAAATTTAAACCAAAAAATAGTGAAAAATAAAACAAAATTAAATTGCAAACAACCAACTGAACTAAATTTATATCCTCTTATTCTTCTAAATTTATACTATAAAACGAAATCAAAATTAAGTCGAACACTCTATAATATCCTATGAAACTTTAGAAAAATACGGAGAAAATCGAAAATACTGTTGCCGAGTCAAAAGCCAAGACAAGAATATATATATATATATATATATATATATATATATATATATATATATATATATATATATATATATATATATATTGTTGAATCAATGGGATCACTGTGATGTTGACTGCAATGTCAAGAATGAACTAAACTTATGCCGGAAAGAATTTATAAATGCATATATACAATCATCAAAACTAAAACTTTATAAAAAACTGACCAACCTGATGGTCAAAGGAAATAACAATATTATGAAAGATAGATTCATCAATCTTAGCCACCACATACTTACAAACAAGCAAAAAGCGTTCTTAAACTTGGGTTTAAACTGCCACTATCTACAAAAACCCAACAAAATTGAGAAAATCACTGAGATTGAAAAGCTAATGATGTCTATAAACGACGCTGAACGTCAAAGTAAAATAAGCGTCAACCCATCTGTTGCCATTGAGCTTCAAGCTGAAGCTAAAAAACAACGCGGTAGTTTTCAAAGCAAGCTACTCACTGACGAGATGAAAGATGCGGCGAAACAATTAAGGAAAAATAAAGATATCGTAATACGACGCGCAGATAAATCTGCACAATATGTCATTATTGGCCGAGCCGATTATCATGAAAAACTCAATGATGTTTTCAAAGATACAAAAAAGTTCCAGGTAATCAAAAAAGATCCCACTCCTCAACTAAAAACTAAACTAAACAAAATAATTAAGAAAATAAAAAAGCAAATCACTGACGACAAACTTCCATCACTTATAGGCGTATACTCTCCTGGCTACTTATATGGGAATATAAAAACGCATAAGAATAATCATCCAATCCGACCAATTATTAGCCAAATTACAACCGTCACATACCCTGTTGCAAAATTTTTGAAAAAAATTCTAACCCCATATATTCCAAACAATTACACACTACAATCTTCCCGTGAATTTATTAATCTCCTCAGCATTAATAAACCATCCAAATTTATTGCCTCTCTGGATGTTGAATCATTATTCACAAATGTACTAATTCATGATACAATTGACATAATTATCAACACCGTTTACCACTCAGATATGGTTCCATTAAGCATACCGAAGCACACCGAAAGCACAACTGAAGTCCCTTCTTCAAATTTGCTCTACCGAAGCACCATTCCACAGCCCCACAGGCAAACTTTACAAGCAAATCGATGGTGTCGCTATGGGTTCCCCCCTTGGTGTCCTATTTGCCAGTTTTTACTTAGGACATCTGAAGAATGAAACCTTCAAAAACAACTTTGTCTCTTATAACGATCCTGAACAAATCACCCAACTTCTTGGTATCTTAAACAAATCAAAACTAAGATTTACCATTGAAATTGAAAAGGAACAACGTTTACCTTTCCTTGATGTGTTGGTCACCCGTGGCGAAGAACGATTCAAAACTGCGGTCTATGTCAAAGAAACAAATACAGGAATTTGTTTGAAGGGACAAAGTGAATGTACCGAACAAATCATTTGTAACCCGGGCATTCACACACTCTTCCGATATTGAAAATCGCGACGCCGAATTAAGAAGAGTTACTAACCTGCTTGTAAACAATGGATATAAGACTTATTCAATTGAAAAGATTGTTAAAGGCAAATTACTACACAACAATAACCTTCCTAGTACCAACAATCAAGATAACGACATCATCTTGTATTACAGAAATCACATGTCAAATGCATACAAAGTAGATGAAGCTATTCTTAAACATATCATCAATAAAAATGTCACACCAACCAACCTAAATAATAAAGTTAAACTCCGAATATATTACAACAATAAAAAGACGTCTCACCTAATACTGAAAAACAACTGCAGTCCTAGAGATAACTCTGAGTTAAAGAGTAATCACGTAATATATTAATTTAATTGCCCCTTTGACGGCTGTGCCCGTCAACATGACTCATATATCGGGATTACTACTACCTCACTGACTAGAAGGCTTACGATGCATAAACAGAGTGGTGCTATCAAATCTCATTTGGACTCAACACACTCAAGCACAATTAGCCGTGAAATCCTCGACAGCAACACCAAAGTAATATACCAGAACAGCAACTACACGCATCTTAAAATTGCAGAAGCAGTCCTAATTGACATCAATAAACGAAAAATAAATATACTACAAAAAATGACAACCTCACTTCCAACCCGGCGCTTAGCTTAACCAACAACGAAAACAAAGAAGTAATAAAAACTAGCATTGTAAATAGTGACAAAGAAGAATATGATGCTATCGATGAAGAAAAGGAGACCAAAGAAGATGGCTAGCCAATAAAGAAACCTGACACCTAATTTCCATCTAAATTCACTTTGACAAAGTCAATCTCCATCTAAATTCATTTTGACAAAGTCAATATTTTCCTATATAAACAGCGGAAAGCACTAATGATGATTCATTCGGAATCGAAATATGGCCTTATTTGCAGCATGAATTCGGAAAATAAGTTTATTTTGAATTTTCATAAACTAAACGTTCACCAAAAAACTTTAGTGAGAAAAATTGAAAAAAACGAACTACAAACATATTAACGCCAAACATTCGGTAGAATTTATAAAATATTGTAATATATATATATGTATATAATTTATATATACTTTTTTACAATATTCTATAAATTCTACCGAATGTTTGGCGTTAATATGTTGGTAGTTCGTTTCTTCAATTTTTCTCACTAAAGTTTTTTGGAGAGAAAAATTATATATTTCCGACATAATTTATACATAATATATTATAAATATAATACAATATATTTCCGATAGTCTTAATCCAATATACATACATATATATATATATATGTATATATTTGTATATACATATATATATATATTTCCGACAGTCTTAATCCAATATATACATATATACACATATATATATATATATATATATATATATATATATATATATATATATATTATCAACAATTAGCGCTTTTTATTATAAATGTAATCAATGAATGTCAATAAAGTACAAATCGATAAAATATTTCCATGTCAAAATAAATGTTTTTAAGTTCTTCTTAAAGTCATCAAACTTTAGTACAGGCATTCTGAGCGATTCCGGAAGACTGTTCCAGGCAATTGGTCCTGACACGGCAATATTTCTAGTTGCAGTTTGTAGTTGAGTAGTTGTCACTGCCAGTAAGTTGGCATAGTCTGATCCCAATTTTACACCTGCTGAAGAAGCTGGTTTTTTAAACTTTTATTTACTAGATATACTGGTAACAACACGTCCATAGCCTTATACATCGTCACACAAATCTTTTAGTTGATTCTTTTTTTCACTGTTAGCCAATGTAGGTCTCTTAAAATGGGTGTTACATGGTCATACTTTCTACGTCCAACAGTTATTTTTGCAGCTCTATTCTGTATCGATTGAAGAAAAGCAATAGATCTCTCTGGTAATCTATTGAACAAGCTATTACCCTGAGTAGTATAAATATATATATAATTTGGTACCGTATATTATAATTATTGATAACAACCATAATATAAACAATCTTGCCGTTAAAATTTTTAAAAATCGCGTTTTATATTGTTTATAGTTATTAAATTTATTTTATTGGTTTTCTGTTTTAATTAAATAATTGTTATTGCAATAACAACATCACAAACCTGAAAATAGCTGAATCAATTTTCATACAAAACAAAAATCCCTCCATGAACATTCAAGTACAGTCTAACAACATTCTACCTTCAAATAGACTACTAAATAAAAACAACAATCATTATAATTATAACAACAATAATTACGAGTACAGCAATAATTATAACAATGTTATCACCAACAAGGTTGATGATGTAAACAACAATCATACCAATAGTGACAACTTTAATAACAACATCAACAACACCAACAACAACATCAACATCAACAATAACAACAACAACAGTGCAAACACTGTAGATACCAATGCTACAACCCACAGCGCAAATACCAGTTGCGATTGGAACATCATCAATAGTGACAACCCTAACAACAACATCAACAACACCAACAACAACATCAACAACAACAGCATCAACAATAACAACAACAACAGTGCCAACAATGTAGATACCAACGCCACAACCCACAGCGCAAATATCACTTGCAAATGGAACATCATCACAAGAAGCAAGAAGAACCACAGCGATGATAATAATAATAATAACGTTAACAATAATAATAATAATAATAATAATAATGTTTTTAAATATTGCCAAAATAATATTAATAATATGTAGTTAATTAAATAAATTAATTCGCGCTTCTCGGCTGAGCGTTGATATTTACCTTAACAACCATAATATAAACAATCTTGCCGTTAAAATTTTTAAAAATCGCGTTTTATATTGTTTATAGTTATTAAATTTACTTTATTGGCTTTCTGTTTTAATTAAATAATTTATATAAATTAATAGTTACTTGTTCCTTTATATCAAATATCTTACATACCTTATATATAATGCACTGAAGATGAGTTATTTATAACTCGAAATAGCTATTTGCAAATTTATTTAATAAAAATTTTTTTAAAAAACAATAAAATGTCTAATTTCTCTGAAATTAATAAATTAAAAAGAAATATGAAAAAGTTGAAAAATGTTGAAAGTAGTGTTGAATTTTTGAAATGTTGCATTAACAACAGTCTGTTACCAAAATATATATAAATATATATATATACTAATTACGGTTAGATTTATATATATATATATATTTAGGAACGAGGTTTTCATTAATACTTATTTTGTTAAATTTATTTGCCCATTTTTCAAAAACTACGCTGTGTTGAGTCCATAATAAAAAAGTTGATAAATGCAAAATGGGCAAATAAATTTAACAAGATATATATATATATATATATATATATATATATATATATATATCGATAAAATTAGATATAGAGCATATATAGTAAATATATATATATTTATTTACAACAATGATGTAAACAACAATCATACCAATAGTGACAACTTCAACAACAACATCAACAACACCAACAACAACATCAACAACAACATCAACAATAACAACAACAACAACAGTGCCAACAATGTAGATACCAATGCCACAACCCACAGCGCAAATATCACTTGCAAATGGAACATCATCACAAGAAGCAAGAAGAACCACAGCGATGATAATAATAATAATTAAGTTAACAATAATAATAATGTTTTTAAATATTGTCAAAATAATATTAATAATATGTAGTTAATTAAATAAATTAATTCGCGCTTCTCGGCTGAGCGTTGATATTTACCTTAACAACCATAATATAAACAATCTTGCCGTTAAAAATTTTTAAAAATTTTAAAAATTGCGTTTTATATTGTTTATAGTTATTAAATTTACTTTATTGGCTTTCTGTTTTAATTAAATAATTTATATAAATTAATAATTACTTGTTCCTTTATTTCAAATATCTTACATACCTTATATATAATGCACTGAAGATGAGTTATTTATAACTCGAAATGTTGAAAGTAGGGTTGAATTTTTGAAATGTTGCGTTAACAATAGTCTGTTACCAATATATATATATATATATATATATATATATATATATATATATATATATACTGGTAAAAGAGCATAATTAATACTGTAATACCGAATTTCTAACGATGGAAATTTTTTTGTTACTTTTCTCAATATTTTTAACCTAATTTTTATCGTTATCAATTGTTTCATTAAAATTAGAATAACAGTTTTCCAATTCATTCAAAGCAATTAGGCCGAACAAAGAAACCATGTCAATTAGTAAGAAGGCAGTAAAATTAACAAGGTCACTGAAAGCCACAAATGCTTATCACAAGAACAAAGGCCTGGGTTATTCAAATTCTCTACATAAACCGCAACAAGTGCTGAAGATTATTGCAAAATCGAAATAGGTCCTATACACTCGAGAATGAATTGGAAAATTATATATTGTTCTATTTTTATGAATATAACATAAAATAACTATTATGTTATAATAATTATTAAAATTAGTAATTTATAATATTTTTTAAATGCCGACAATGATTGAAAATACCAAACAAACGGCAATATTAATATCGTTCCAAAAAAATTTTGATATTTTTTCAGATTTAATTCTGACAGGTAAAAATTGTGTATTCCGTGTATGATTGTATTTGAAACCAACGTATTCTTTTGGAAATTTCAGCAGGGCCGGAAGGCGCATTTGCCATGGGAGGGGGCAAAACTCAGTTTGCCGCCCCCACCACATTATGCTGTTATTATTATCATTGTTATGCTATTACCGTAAGCTATTGTTTAAATGCTTTTTAACTTTTTTACATTTTTTAAAACTTTTCAAAATTTGCCGCCCGAGGTGCTTGTTCCCTTTGCCCCCTAGTTTCGGGCCTTAATTTCAGACGATAAAATTTTAACCTAACGGACTGTTTTTGGGTCTGGTTACCATAAAATTCCGAATTTTTCAACAAATGCAGATTCCTACAGACAAGAATTAAAATTTTGAAAAAGAAATTAAATCGCAAAAGATTTAAGTTTTAAAGTCATTAAGCAGTTAATATGGCAAACAATAGAGTATCAAATAATACAACTATTTTCAACGTTCGAAGTGCATCTGTGCAAAGTACATTTCTTACATGATTATAAACCAAAAGTATTTCTGTAAATTTTTTTAATAATTAACGACTCTTTTTATTTTAAAGGCTGGTTAAAGCTAAAGCATATTGAATAATTTTGAATAAACTGAATAATTAAACTATTAATAAATTTATTTAGTAATGATCTTTTTAAATTTTATTTTGAAAATTACATTGATTTGTTTATTAATCATTGTAACTGGTTTAGTTTTTGGTGAAGATACCAGACATCCAAACAAGAAAAGTGTTTTACTCGTTATAGATGTGCAAAATTGTTTTATCGAAGAAGGTTCACTGGCAGTAAGTGGTGGCCGTTCTCTGGTGCCATTCATCAACCATCTTTTACTCGAATATAGACCATACTTTGAGGAGGTAATTTTTACTAAAGATTACCATCCACGTGATCATGTGTCCTTTGCCTCACAGCATTTTAATAAATCTGCTTTCCAGAAAATAAAAATAAAATATGATGAGAACGGTAAGTTTGTACTGACTTTTTTTTAGACTTTTCAACTGTTATAATGTTTATGTTGCAGCAAAAATCTGTGAAACAACTGAATTAAAAAACTTTGTCAATCGAACCGTTAATTGTTCTGTTGGAAAAATCAGAGAAATAGAACAAACTTTGTGGCCAGATCATTGCATCGAAAATACTCAAGATTCCGAATTTCCATCTGATTTAAATTTTGATGCCAATAAGGATGTAGTTTTCAAAAAAGCAACAAATAAAGATGTTAGTTTTATGCATTGATATAAAAGATAATAGATATTTGATTTATTTATTCAGATTTTACATTTTTAGTATTTCTCAGAGATGTCAACAACAAACAAAGCGCTTCTAAATACGTGTAAATCAACGTGTTACCCATTGGATGCGATAAGAGTTCGAATTCGAACTCAATAACCGCAGCAACAGCTTAACCCTTATACCACTGCGCTGCCCAAATGAAATTGGTTTCATGATGGCGAATATTAATGTTTGCTCATTGGGCCCGATGTCGTTGTTTTATTGTAAATAAAAAAACTATTAAAAATACTTATTTAAATCGCGATATGCAAACTATAATCAATAGATTAAAATTAGGCCATTCAGAAGTCACCCATTCCTGGATTCTCAAAAAATCAAATAAAAATCAATCCACTCATCATATACTAACAGAGTACAAAAATACAATGAGATTAGAAATAAATTTATAGTTTCAATGTTTGTAGAATCAATATTCCAAAATAAAATAAAAATCTGGAAGTTTTTATTTCATTTCTAAAGAAGATCGATATGTTAAACAAGATTTAAAGAGTTGAGAATCACCAGATACAAATAGTCACAAAACCAATATCGTGATGACCATAGGGTGTAAAGCGCCGTTAAACTGCTAAAAATAAAAGAAAAACAAAATCATTGCACCCGATGTTATTGTTTTACTGTTATTGCTATAATTTGGTTCCTGAAAAAATTTAGCATTCCAATAATTTCTGAGCAACGTTTAAAAATTCAGCAGGACTAAACCCAAAATTTGCACAAAAACAATTATGAATTTTAAAAAATATGACAAAAAATAAATAAGATGAAATAAAATAAAAGTAAAATAAAATGAAATGAAATAAAAAAACATACATGAGAATTCAAAGAACAAAAATATTGAAAACATTTAAAGAGCATGCACCCTAGCCTAGCAATTTGATTCACAGAATTAGCGATAAAATATTGTACCAAACAAATAAAAATCATCCTATCTAAGAAATCAATGAAAAATTTTATTTAGTCTCTATAATAAACGAAATAAACCACATAATAAACAATTAATCAATTAATTAAGTAAGGATCAAATATTCAATCAAGCTCTAAATCAATGAAACAATATATTACAGAGATATAATATAAAGCATTGCACATTGAACAGGGCCATGGATATGGCATAAGAATTGTTACCTGCCTAATAATTTTGCTTAGTTCTATGGAATTAAACGCGTAAACATTAAACATTTTTTTAGTAATGGCATTTTACTGATTTTTTATGATCAAACGTCTTACTATAGACAAATTTTTTAATTAAATGCCAATAAATTGACAAAAAAAGCAAATAGATCGATAATCGCTAAACAACCGGCTAAAAACTGATTGTTTACTTTAATTTAAATTCACTTTTCAACAAATATTTGTTAGACTGACCTTGATGTTAAATATATATAAACAAGAACAATGTATATATATATAACGCGTCTGCCATATCCATATTATATATATATATATCCATGAACATGGCATTAAATAAAACCTTGCATTTTAATAACTTTTTTTTAAACTTAGAATAAACATTGAATTTAAGTTGAACGATGTAACGCACATAAAATGCACGTTTTTTCAAAGCAAAACGTTATTTATAAAGTTTCTTTATTCTAATAAAAACATTTTTATTATAAAATTTTAATTAATTCCTAAATTTTATATCGATAATATAAGATTAAATTTGTACAACCCAGGCAATATAGAATTGATCTGACCAAAACATCCGGATATCAGATAATTATAGTTAATAATTATTAAACACAGTCTATGCACTGTATATTAGAGGTGAACTTGGGAACAGGAATTGCAAGAATCCCATGGTTCCCATGGGAGTTGGTAAAACCTAATTGTCGGGAATGGAAATTTTAGGAAATAGAGATTTACTGTGTGGGAATCGGGAATAATGGACGGGAATGGAAAAAATGGAAAAAACAACATATACATGTCCAATTTAAAAAAATTAATTTTGATCAAAATGCCTGTTATCTATGCAACTCAACACGTGTACGTATGCATTAACAAAGAAGATATTCACGTGCAAGCAATGGAACCATAAAAATTTTTCATGATATATATAACATAAAACTTTATATATATATATATATATATATATATATATATTTTAAAAATTCAACACTACTTTCAACAATGTTCAACTTTTTTATAATTCTTTTTAATTTATTAATGTCAGAGAAATTAGACATTTTATTGTTTTTTAAAAATTTTCATTAAATAAATTTGCAAATAGCTATTTCGAGCTGTGAAATAGCTATTTATATTTATTTTTTATATTGTTTAATGTTATTAAATTTATTTTATTAGTTTTCAGTTTTAATTAAATAATTTATATAAATTAATAATTACTTGTTCCTTAAAATGACAAAAATGAAATGGTTCTTGAACAAGATGAGATCAAGCTACAGTGGAGAGAATACTTCAATCGTCTGTTAAACGAAACAAATCACATCAATGTTAACTTTGACGCACCACCCATCGAAGGTCCGATTACAGACATCACTTTAGAGGAGCTTACAGAAGCTCTGAAAGCTATGAAGGATGGAAAGGCAGCAGGGCCCTTTGGACTCACAAATGACATTATCAAAGCATCTGGTACTGCAGGTATCCAAACGTTACTACAACTTTGCCGTGAAATCTGGAGAAATTGCTCAATGCCGACTGAATGGAATTATAGCATGACAGTCCCACTATACAAAGACAAAGGTGATCCATTGAACTGTTCATCATATAGGGGTATAAGTCTGTTAGAACACTCCCTGAAAATTGTCGAAAAAATCATTGAGAGAAGATTAACGTCCTGCATCACAATCGGAAATTATCAATTTGGTTTTCTAGCGGGGAAATCAACAATTGACGCAATTCACATCCTTCGGCAACTGCAAGAGAAGTACCTCGCAAAGCATCAACAACTATCACACATTTTTGTAGACCTTGAAAAAGCATTTGATCGAGTTCCCCGTGAAGCAATCAGATGGAGTCTACGTCGACAACTCATTCCAGAATATCTTGTTCGACTTGTGATGGAAATGTATACGAGTACTAAGACTCTCGTCAGCACAACGGTTGGAAACACATATGCATTTGACATCGGCGTTGGAGTTCACCAAGGCTCGATTCTCAGTTCACTGTTATTTATAACTGTGATGGAAGAAATCACAAAACCGATACGCACTGGTGACATTTGGAATCTAGTATATGCTGATGATATCATTTTAACAGCCACGTCTGAGCATAATGCAGCACAGATGTTTGAAGATTGGAACACCAGACTCGCCGATCATGGATTCAAAGTCAACATCAGCAAAACCAAAGCAATGAACACTGGTGAACCCATCCAATCCACAGCTACTGGACAATGGCCTTGTTCAGTTTGTGAAGCTGGTGTAGGTAACAATTCAATCAAGTGTCAGCACGTAACCAGTGGTGTCACAAACGTTGTTCAAAAATAATTGGTACTTTATCTAAAGTGTCGAATTTTGTTTGTCCTGCTTGCATCAATCCACAACAACAAATTCAAAATAGCACTGTTTTTGAAACCATTAAAATAGAAAAAGTCACATCGTTTCAATATCTAGGGAGTGTTCTGGATTGTACTGGAACAGCTGAAGCTGCCGTTCGAGCAAGCATACGTGCAGCCTGGAATAAATGGCATTTCCTTGCCCCTATATCCCACTACCACTACGATCAAGACTTTATAAATCTGTGATAGTGGTCCGGTGTTGTTATATGGTGCAGAAATATGGCCAATGACAACTAAACTGGAACAACTACTTTAACGAACCGACATGAAAATGCTCCGATGGATGCAACGAATTAGTCTGAAGGACCACATCAAATCTACGGAAATCCTGCGTCGTGCTGGTTTAGATGATATAAAGGACAAATGCCGGCAACACCGTCTGCGGTGGTTTGGTCATGTCAAACGAAGTGGAAACAGTGCCATAACTTCTATTGCAGATGTTGAAGTACCTGGCACACGTCCCAAAGGCCGTCCAAAGAAGTCCTGGTCGCAAACAATCGAGCAAGACAAGAAAGCTCTAAATGTAAATGAAATGGATACAACTGATCGTCTAATTTGGCGCAAAAAGTTGATAGCAAAGAAAACAACGTCCTATCTCGGGAAACCGGGTCTCTGGACGCAAAACGAAGATTGATTGACTTATTCCTTCTTATCAAATATCTTACATACCTTATATATAATGCACTGAAGATGAGTTATCTATAACTCGAAATAGCTATTTGCAAATTTATTTAATAAAAATTTTTAAAAAACAATAAAATGTCTAATTTCTCTGACATTAATAAATTAAAAAGAAATATAAAAAAGTCGAACAATGTTGAAAGTAGTGTTGAATTTTTGAAATGCTGCGTTAACAACAGTCTGTTACCAATATATATATATATATATATATATATATATATATATATATATATATATATATATATATATATATATATATATGTGTGTGTGTGTGTGTGTGTGTGTGTGTGTGTGTGTGTGTGTGTGTGTGTGTGTGTGTGTGTATAAAAAATGGTAACAACAATGGCTGGTCGGTCGGCTGTTGCTAGTGAATTTTTGTGCTTTTTGACAAATAATTGGAATAATTTCGATAACGAAACTTTTATTTTGAATGTATTGGATTTCTATTATGTCGACGAAGTTACTGCTGCAATTAAAATTTTGAAAAATGATTTGGAATTGTTAAAAATTAAAGAATTGCAATCAGAATTAGTGGATAAGTTTCAATTTCGCGGAATAAATAAAAAAGACAAAATTTTAGAATGTGTTGAATTGCTAAAAATTTTGAGGTTAGAAGGTTTTATTGATAAATGTTCAATATATTCAGCTGTTAATCTGTTGAGGATACCAAATATTACTAACTGGCTGAATTTTAGTTTTCAAAAGATCAAAAATGAAATCGAAGCCA